TCTGCTGGGCCCCCAAGGAGCCCACGAATGTGGCGTCAATGGCACATTTCGCAGCCCCTCAAGGAGCCACGAGGTCCCAGCCAAATGCGCGTACTTCTCCACTCGGCTGGGCCTCTAATGAGCCCCCGAAAATGGTGACAATTGCGCAGCTCGCAGCCCCCAAGAGAGCCGCGAGGTCTCGGCTGGGTCTGCGTACCACCACACTCTTGGGCCCCCAAGGAGCCCGAGAAAAAAGGTGGCATTGCGCAGCTCGCAGCCCCCAACGGAGCCGCGAGGTATCGGCTGGGACCAAGCCGCTGGGTCTGCGTACCACCCCACTCCGCTGGGCCTCCCAGGAGTCCAAGAACGTGGCGACAATTGCGCAGCTTGCAGCCCCCCATGCGAGCCGCGAGGTATCGGCTGGGTCTGCGTACCACCCCACTCCGCTGAGCCTCCCAGGAGCCCGCGAACGTGGCGACGATAAGGCAGTTCGCAGCCCCCCAAGCGAGCCGCGAGGTTTCGGCTGGGTTTGCGTACCATCCTCCGTCACCGCGTCTCACAGGAGCCCAAGAACGTGGCGACGATTGCGCAGCTGGCAGCTCCCAAGGGAACCGCGAGGTCTGAGATGGGTCTGCGTACCACCCCAAGACTTCGCTGGGCCTCCCAGAAGCCCAAGGATATGATATGGCGACAATTGCGGAGTTCGCAGCCCCCCAGGAAGCCGCGAGGTCTCGGCTGGGTCTGCGTACCACCCCACTGTGCTGGGCCAACCAGGATCCCACGAAAGTGGCGACAATTGAGCAGTTCGAAGCCCCCCCAGGGAGCCGCGAGGTCCCGCCTGGATCCTCCCAGGGAGCCGCGAGCAGGAGGAGGAGGAGGAGGATGAGGAGGAGGCGAAGGAGAAGGAAAAGAGGGAGGGAGGGGAAGGACGGAGTGGGAGGCCACAGTGCCCTATTCGAAACGAGAACCCAGCACAGAAGGGTGGGACAAACATACGCTCAGACGCACCTGGCCGCGCTTTGCTACTGCTGGGGTTACTCTGACGACGCTTGAGGTCCAGGGCCGCGGCCTTCGGCGTCTGCGGCGCCGGCGGGGGGGCCTTGGGCGCCGGCTGCGAGGCCTCGGCCCCTGGTCGCGAGCACAGGTCCACGGCCGTGCCGTCCTGCTGGAAGACCTCCGGGTACTTGTCGAGGAACGTGCGGATCGTCCCGAACTCCTTCATATCCCCCTGGCCCCAGCGCACCTGGGGCCACTCCAGGACCCGGGGCGCCCACACATCCGAGGTCGTGATTTTTCGCGCAGCACGGACCCCGCATGCCCCATGGGGTCTGGGCCCTTTCCAGGGGACGGGCGCTTCCTCCTGCATCGTGTCTGTGGACGGCCCTGGGATCCAGAAAGAGCCCCCTGAGGCCGAAGCAGGCAGAACACCTTCGGCCGCGAATCTCTCACGACGCGAGGACTGGTGGGCTTGTTTTCCACTGCCATCACCAGAAGTAGGAGGGGGAGGGGGTCCTCCTTCTGCTCCTCCTCCTCCTCCTCCTCCTCCTCCTCCTCCTCCTCCTCCTCCTCCTCTTCGTCCTCCTCTTGCTCATCCTCCACCTCCTTCCCCCCTCCAACTTATGGCAGTGGTGGTGGAAAACAGGCCCCTCAAGGATGTCAGGACAAGAGAAAGGCAACCTCTCTGGCCAAGACCGCGAAGCGCGAAGCGCGCAGTCCTCCTCGCGCACCCCCGCGGGTGCCCTGAAGAGCTCCCCGCCGCACCTCCGTGCCAGACCTTGGAGGGGGACCCGTCAGGGGACCTGTGGGGGGACCCGGGGACTGGTAATTAGCAAAGCTCAGCTCGCTGAGGTGCTGGGCGGCTCAACTCGTCGGGAGGTGGCCTTCACGACGGTGGCTTTCCTTCGCTTCCCTCGTTCGACATGCTCGCGGCAGCGCTCGCAGATCCTGCTGCAGGCGAGTCTAATTTCCAGTCGGTTTGAAACTGTTCAAGCGCTCCCTCCCTGAACCAGTCGAAGTGGTTCAGGGGAAGTCCAGGGGAGGGGAACATTGGCATGGCATCGGCGATACCTCGCCGATCCATCGGCGACTGGACCTCGAGATCGAAGACGCACGAGGAGGAGGAGGAGGAGGAGGAAGAGGAGGAGGATGAGGAGGAGGAGGCAGCGGAGGAAGAGTAGGAGGAGGAGGAATACGAGGAGGAGGAGGGAAAATAGGAGGAGGAGGAGGAGGAGGAGGAGGAGGAGGAGGAGGAGGAGGAGGAGCAGGAGGAGGAGGAGGAGGAGGAGGAGGAGGAGGAGGAGAAAGACGAAGAGGAGGAGAAGGAGGAGGAGGAGGAGGTCCCTGGTCGGGGTAGGCTAGCAGGCCTAAAGCTGCATTGCTGGGCAGACACTCCTCTGAGAACCTCCGCCGCCTGCCCAGAAGGCCGCCCCCCTCTCGAGCCACGCCTCATGGGCTCGCCGCCAGGACTGGGTCTCGTGGGACCTGGCCTAGTCACGTGTGCTTTGGGATTGGGACGCCTCCCCCACTCCCTCCCGCTGACCGGACCTGCCGACGCTCGCAAAACAAAGCGACAGCAGACTTGGCTGAGCGATTCGGGCCACTGTTCTCAGCTTCGGGGCCCAGCCACCGAGCAGCTCCCCCTGCCCAGGCTTCTGGCTGCACGCGAAAGGAGAGACGAAGACACGAGGGCGGCGTGGGCACCTTGAGAGACAGCAGGTTCAGCCTCATCGGCCTGCCGTAGGCCAGCAGCTCCCTCTGGACTGGAGGCGGCCAGGGGGTCTGAACTCGTCGAGGCCCAAGAAAGTCGGCCGAGGGGGATGAAGCCAACTCCACCCCGGACCCCTCCTGGGGTCCGTCTGATTCGGTCCATCACCCTTTTCACATTCCCAGGGCCCGAGAACGGCTCCAAGAGGCGAGGCTGAAAAAGGCAACACAACCCCCCCAAACCCCGAACCTCCCCCCTCCCCCCTCCTCCCTCCCCCCTCCTGCTGGCCGGGGCCAGGGCTGCGCCATTTCAGACCCCCTGGGCATCGCTTCATGGGGGAGGCGATAACATGGGGGAAGGGGGGAAGCGAAGGGTGTATTTCTCGGACCCTCGAGGCTCCCCTTCGGGCCCGAAAGTGCCCATTGGAGGGGCCCCGAAGGGCCTCTGTTCTGCAGCCCTCGCCGCCCCCCCCTCAAGTGTCGCCCATGTCACGCGACGCCCAGGCCCCCAGACGGCTCAAACCTCCGGATGCTGGCCACGGCGCTCGACTCCGAGGCCATGGCCTCAGCCGCCCTGCCAGGCGCCTGCCGGCGCCCCCGGAGCCCTCCGCGCCCGCGGGCCCGCCTCGGGCCAAGTTGGCTGCGGGGGGGGCCCTCCTGGGGGCATGAGGAGGAGGAGGAGGAGGAGGAGGAGGAGGAGGAGGAGGAGGAGGAGGAGGAGGAGGAGGAGGAGGAGGAGGAGGAGGAGGGAGGAGGAGGAGGAGGAGGAGGAGGAGGAGGAGGAGAGGAGGAGGCGGGGGGAGGAGGAGGAGGAGGAGGAGGGGGAAGAAAAAGAGGAAGGCGGAGGAGGAGGAGGAGGAGGAGGAGGAGAAGGAGGAGGAGGAGGAGGAGGTGGGGGAGGAGGAGGAGGAGGAGGAGGAGGGGAAGAAACAGAGGAAGGCGGAGGAGGGGAGGAGGAGGAGAAGGAGGAGGAGGAGGAGGAGGAGAGGGAGGAGGAGGGAAGGATAAAGAGGAAGGGAGGAGGAGGAGGAGGAGGAGGAGGAGGAGGAGGAAGAGGACGAGGAGGAGGAGTAGGGGGGGGGAGGAAGGAAAGCGGGCAGAGGATAGGAAGGAGGGAGGGAGCGAGGAGGGTGGAGGAGGCAGGGTGGGGAGGCAGAGGAAGGAAAGGAGGGCGGAGGATGGGGAAGGAGGGAGGGAGCGAGCAGCGTGCAGGAGGCAGGAGGACGGTCGAGGGAGGAGGATAGAGGAGAAGACAGAAGGAGGAGGAGGAGAAGGAGAAGGAGGAGGAGGAGGAGGAGGAGGAGGAGGAGGAGGAGGAGGGATTTGTTTTTTCTCTGCAAGCCGTTAGGCAGAACCGAGGGGCCACGGTTGGCCCGGGCCACGGTTGGCCCGCGCGCGGGCGCCCCACGGGCCGCGCCCGGGGCGCCTCCGGGGCGCTCACACCTTGGAGGTGGGGGGAGAGGACCCCCGGCAACGACTCCCAGAGGGTGGGGCCCCAGCCGGGAAGGCTGAGGGGGGCCCACGGGAGACCTGCGTCGCCGACGGCGCGTTTTGAAAAACCCCCGGACCCGGGACCCAAAAACGACACGACGACACGACACGACGGGGGGACGAAGACGCGGCACGACCGACGACGCACGACACGACACGACACGCACGACAACGACGGGACGAGCCGCCGGTCCCGCCCCAGGGCGGCGAGTGCAGGGTGGGAATCCTGCACCGCCCTGGGGGAGGCCACGGGACCTGGCGACCCCCCTGGAAAAGGAAGGCCGCGCTTATGGCGGCTGTCCCCAGGGTGCGGGGGCTTGTGCCCTGAAGGCCGGTGCTCCCCGCCTGCACCAGGGGGCGCAAAGGCCCGGCCCCCACTCTTGGGGGGCCCCTCCAGGGGGAGGAGGAGGAGGGAGAGGAGGAGGACGAGGAGGAGGAGGAGGAGGAGGAGGAGGAGGAGGAGGAGGAGGAGGAGGAGGAGGAGGAGGAGGGGGAAGAGGAGGAGGAGGGACCAGGGGAAGGGGAGGGGGGGGGGTAAGGAAAGGAGGGCGGAGGATAGGGAATGAGGGAGGGAGCGAGGAGGGCAGGAGGCAGGAGGACGGTCGAGGGAGGAGGATAGAGGAGAAGACAGAAGGAGGAGGAGGAGGAGGAGGAGGAGGAGGAGGAGAGGAGGGGAGGAGGAGGAGGAGGAGGAGGAGGAGGAGGGAGGAGGAGGAGGAGGAGGAGGAGGAGGAGGAGGAGGAGGAGGAGGAGGAGGATATGGAAGGAGGGAGGAGAAAGCTCCCCCCCGTCTCTCAGGCGCCCCCTGCGGCGGTGGATGCGGGCTCCTGGCCGCGTGCCGGCCGTTCGTCCGCCGCGCCGACATTGCGCCTTGGGCGCGAGGAGGGAGGGAGGAGGAAAAGGGAGAAGGGAAGGAGAGGGAGGAGGAGGAGGAGGAGGAGGAGGAGGAGGAGGAGGAGGAGGAGGAGGAGGAGGAGGAGGAGGAGGAGGAGGAGGAGGAGGAGGAGGAGGAGGGAGGAGGAGAGGAGGAGGAGGAGGAGGAGGAGGAGGAGGGGGAGGAGGAGGAGGAGGAGGAGGGGAGGAGAGAGGAAGATGGGGACGAGGAGGAGGAGGAGGAGGAGGAGGAGGAGGAGGAGGAAGATGGGTAGGAGGAGGAGGAGGAGGCGGAGGAGGAGGAGGAGGAGGAGGAGGAGGAGGAGGAGGAGGACCAGTGTAAGACCCAAGACTCATCAACGATATTGCAAAACAAAACGCCTTCCAAGTTCCCTCTTCATAGGCCCCTTCACGAATTCATGTTCAGAGGCCCTTTATAGGACCCTCTCCACAGGCCCTCCTCATAGGTACACTCAGAGAAATATCCCGCTGGAAAACAACCGTTTGAGCCAGAAATATGCCCGAACACCATTCCTGGGACACCAACGCCGTGAAACACCGTGACTGTGGCGTCGTGGCGATCCTGACTCGGGCCAACACGTGGCTTCTGGGATTTCAACACCGCGAATCAACGTGACCGTTGCGCCCTGACATTCCGACATCGTGCTTGCAATGTTTAAAGCGAATGTGCGCGGCGCTAAGGTGAGAGCCACATTTTGAAAACGGGCCGCCATCCATCTGCGAAGCGCTTGCAACTCTAAAAGCGTCAGGATCGCTAGTGGTGAGGAAGTGTCAGGAGAAACGCTCGACCCGCCCTTTCCACCAGCCTCGAGGTGCGACACGGAGAAGGTATCTATACGGAGAAGGGGAGAAGGTGGGATTGATGATGATGATGATGATGATGATGATGATGATGATGATGATGATGATGATGATGATGATGATGATGATGCTGATGATGATGATGATGATGATGATGATGATGATGCTGCTGCTGCTGCTGATGCTGATGCTGATGCTGATGCTTGCTGATGATGATGAGAGGAGGGGAGGAGGAGGAGGAGGAGGAGGAGGAGGACGAGGAGGAGGAGGAGGAGGAGGTGGAGAAGGGACGAATTGGAGGGATGGTGAGGAGGAGGAGGATCTGACAGCGAGCACCAGGAGGAGCAGTCATGCCGGCACGGGTCTGCTCCTGCGGCCCCGACACGTCGACATGCCGTCTGCAAGCTGGTCAGGGCCGCCTGAAGAACAAGAACCGAGATCCTCCTCCTCCTCCTCCTCCTCCTCCTCCTCCTCCGCCTCCTCCTCCTCCGCCTCCTCCTCCTCCTCCGCCTCCTCCTCCTCCTCCTCCTCCTCCTCCTCCTCCTCCTCCTCCTCCCCGAGTCTGAAGCGCCGTGCTGCGAGGGCAGCGGGCTCGGTCGAGGCCGACTCTCGACGCTGCTACCCTGAAGAGAGGAGGGAGGGGAGGGGAGGGGAGGGAGGGGAGGGGAGGGAGGGGAGGGAGGGGGAGGGAGGGCGGGAGGGAGGATGGATGGCGGCCACTGCGGGCGAGGAATGGGCTCTGCGGGGACAGCGGCCCGAGGGCAGCCGGGAGGAGAGCCCTCCTCAGCATGGAGGCCAGGGAGGGAGGGTGGGAGGGAGGAAGCATCAGAAGGACGTAGAGGGATGGCGGGATGGAGGAGGTCGAGGGGTGAGGGAGGATATAAGGACGGGGGAAGAGAAACTGTCTCATGGTGTCATTCAGGGGCCCTCACGGACTGCGGGGCTGGGAGCGTTGTGGAGGGGGGGGGAGGAGCTGGGGGCTGCAGATGGTGACGGTGATGCTGGTGATGCTGAAGAGGAGGAGAAGGAGAAGGAGAAGGAGGAGGAGGAGGAGGAAGAGGAGGATGATGATGATGATGAAGAGGAGGAGGAGGAAGAGGGACGAGGATCCGCCAAGGGCTAGCCCCGTGCCCTCGGAGGAGGAGGAGGAAGAGGGACGAGGATCCGCCAGGTCAAACGTGACGGCGAAATGGTCGCCTCACTTTTTCGTGTCCTGGGCGAAGGCGACGAGTGCAACATCCCCCTCTCTGCCCCATAATCTCGGGAGGGGAACCTGGCCGTGGCGACGAGAGCGCTACACACATGGATTTAGTTATATATATATATATATACATATATATATATATATATATATATATATATATATATTATGTATTGTATATATGTGCACACTATATATATATATGTATATATGGATATATATATACACATACGTACATCTGAAGAGGGCCCAAGAACTCCTCAGAAGCCTCGGCTCTCGTCTCGGCGGGGCAGGGGGCTCCCCCTTCCCAGACACCCGACGTCGTGATCTGTTTCGCAACGTCGACCCCCAGAGGTCTGGACCCCCTCCCCGGGACCGGTTTTTCGTCCGGAGTCGCTTCTGGCCGGCCCCGGGCCCGGGAAGGGCCCCTGGAGGCCGACACTATAAGGAGACACCTCCCGTCCTGAGTTTCTCGCAGCGCGGAGCATGTCTGGGGTCCCTCGTCTCAGACCTGCCTTCGCTGCGGGCGCCTCGCCGAGACGAAGCCCTAGCCTGCGTGCCAGGGTTTCCGGCGGCCCCTCCTCCTCCTCCTCCACCTCCTCCTCCTCCTCCTCCTCCTCCGCCTCCTCCTCCTCCTCCTCCTCCTCCTCCTCCTCCTCCTCCTCCTCCTCCTCCTCCTCCTCCTCCTCCTCCTCTCCCTCCTTTCCCTCCTCCTTCCTCCCCCTCCCCCTCCCCCCCTCGCCTCGGCGGGGCCCGGGCGCCGCGCTCTGCGGCCGTGCCTCCCGGGCTCCCAGGCGGCCCCTCGAGAGGGACGACCCGCGCCACCCCCCGAGGAAGAACGCGCAAGCGCTCTCGAGGAGGAGGGCGAGGGCGAGGGCGAGGAGGAGGAGGAGGAGGAGGAGGAGGAGGAGGAGCAGGAAGAAGAGGAGGAGGAGAAGGGCGAGGAGGAGGAGGAGGAGGAAGAGGAGGAGGAGGAGCAGGAGGAGAGGAGGAAGGAGGAGGAGGAGCAGGAGGAGGAGGAGCAGGAGGAGGAGGAAGAGGAGGAGGAGGAGAGGAGGAGGAGAAGGAGGAGGAGCAGGAGGAGGAGGAGGAGCAGGAGGAGGAGGAGCAAGAGGAGAGGAGGAGGAGGAGGAGGAGGAGGAGGAGGAGGAGGAGGAGGAGGAGGAGGAAGAGGAGGAGGAAGAGGAGGAGGAAGAGGAGGACGAGGGAGCTGCAGCTGCCGGAGAGACGAGGGCGCTCCGAGGCGAGGGCAGCCCTCGAGAAGAGACGAGCACGCCGGGGGACAGAGGCACCGACGATCCCAGGCCCCCGGGCGTCGTGACGTCGTCCCAGCGTGGGCCCCCGCGGCGTTACACCCCGAGTCTTTCTCGGAGGTCCCCAGGGCCCGACGAGGGCCCCCAGAGGCCGAAAGTGGTCCAACACCTCCCGTCGCGATTTTGTGGAAGCCGCGATTGGGTCTGGCATCACTGACATCCTTCAACGTGATTTGTTGGATCCGCAGCCCCAGGCTGACGTCAGGGTTCCCGACCGCTTCTCCAGGGGCAGCCTTCGCCCCTGATCCATGTTTGATGGCCTCGGGGCCTCACGGGTAGCCCTGAGGATGACCCTCCAAATCTATAGACCTAGTCTTCTGGACGGCGAAAGCCTCGACTGGAACTTATTGCTGTCATGCTGCAAAGTCCTGGTGCAATGTTTGTTGCCGCTCAGGAAGGTCAGGGAACCGGCCCTAGAGCCGAAATCGCGTGAGACAACGATGGGTTGAACAACAATCATCGGCCGAAATTTGAATCTGAAATTTTGGACACCCGAAATGGGTACGGAAAGTATCGGCTACTGCCCAAGAGCAAATGTTGTCCAAAGCAAACAGCGGCGGCTGTTGGGCAGGCGGATTTCGTCTTCAAAGAAAACGTCCGCGGCGGCGCGGACAGCGAGTCCTGTTCAACATGGACAAAAACTGCTGTTGGGCATCGTACCCATCCGTTCCGTACCCATGTCGATCGTCCCGATAAATGTTAGGGGTAGGGGCCGGAAGCGCCCCGGGTGCAAGGCGGGGATTTATCCCAGAACCGCCGCCAAGGGGGTCGATCTTCGGGGACATCGGCAGGCGGCGGATGTGGATCTACTCGAGCCCTGGGGGGCCGAACATGTATCTAGACCGACCGCCTGCTGAGGTCCCTGGAGGTCGCTCCCCCAGGCGGTGGTCATGTGGACCAATCCCCTCCCTGGATCAAGGTTGGGCGGAAGGCAACCCCAGGCGAGGAAGAAGATGCAGCGGCTCGCCCTATCAATAGAGGAACAACAAGCGGCATGAACATAAACTTTTGACGGTCCCCGCGGATATCTTGGATCTGAGCTGGACCCGTCTCCCTGGGGCGGCGCCGGAGGCGCCGCCAGGGGACCTCAGCGCAGATTTAAGAAATTCGCGCGGACCGCCAAAAGTTTATGTTTATACCGTTTGTGTTCTTCGAACCAAAGAGGGTGGCAACAGGGACAGCTTCCTGAGGGGGGGAAGCTTAATGACGCACGCCTCAGAAGGGGCTACTGGGAGAGCGACAGCGATAGCCTTCTGAGACGGCGGACGGAGGCGGAGGAGGAGGGGGAGGAGGAGGAGGAGGAGGAGGAGGGGTGGGGGAGGAGAGAGGGAGGAGTGGGAGGAGGAGAGAGAGGAGAAGGAGGAGGAGAGGGAGGAGGAGGGGTGAAGAGGAGGAGGAGGAGAAGGAGGGGTGGGGCGGGGCAGGAGGCAGGTGAGGTTCTCCCCCCTCCTCCCCTCCTCTCCCCCCCCCTCATCTGCTCCCGCCGAGGGGCGGGAGGCGCCCCGGGCGAGGAAAAACATGCAGTCCCCGGGGTCGTGTTCGTGCACGACCACGTGGCCCGCCGGGCACGTCCTCGCGCGCGGCGACCGCCCCCGCGGCCAGCGACCGCCGCGGCGCGGGGGCATGGGGGTGGGCGAGGACCCTGACCTTCCACGAGGGCTGGAATATAGCACCATGACCTGGGCGTCTAAATTCCCGTCGAGGTTTTTGCGCAGTCCAAATAAGTATTTAGGCTATGTTTTGGCACTCTGGTAGGTCAGGGGAGGGGGGGAAACGTTGCGGCGGGGACCCTAACAGGAAACGACAAGGAGTCCTCGTCTGGCAATGAGGTTTCGGACGTCGTCGCTGGTTCTCAACGGCTTTCCGGCCTCCAGCCACGGAATGCCCTCCAGCAACTGCGCTTCGCCGAGAGCGTTCTTGGGGTGCCCGGATCGCCCCCGAACGGCCGCTGGAGAGCAGAGCTAGGACCCGAAGGTCCGGGGCAACGTGAGGGGTGGCCTTGCTCACACGGGGTGGGGGATCTGGAGCTGCAGTCGGCGATACATCGCCGATGGATCGGAGAGAGGCCTTGGATTGCGGATCCGAACGTCCCCGGGCCGGTTTGCGCTGTCGGGCCCCGCGTATTGGTGATGAGTGGGCGATTGGGAGTCGATGCATCGATCCCCCCCTCAGCCTTGCGCCCCACCCCCCCAACGCTGCCCCTGAACTGGGGGGGTCGGGGGGCGGGAACGGGCAGTTGCTAGTTCAGGCTCTCGGAGCGAATCCCTGGCATGCCCGCGTCGCGGGCAAAAGCCACGGCGGGAGGTGCTGTTGGGTGACCATCGGTCTCCAGGGCCATTCGCCGTGCCCCGGGCCAGGGCCAGTCAAGAAGCGACTCAGGGATGGAAAACTGGGCCGCGGGAGGGGGTCCAGACCTCTGAGCCTCTGGGAAGCCACGTTCTGCAAAGGACACGACGCCGGAGGGGTGGGAATCCACATTGCCAGAGGTGCACAGAACCCTCTCCAGCAAAACAACCTTTAGTGAGGACCAGACCTGGCGGGCACAGGCCCGCAACAACTGCGGCCGCAGCACCCTCTCGAGAAATGCGGCACAGCTCGCTAGTCGCCACGGCAGGGTGGGGGCTCTATCAGTCTCCAGTGCTGCTGTCCCCACTCGAGGCATGGCACGGGGTGACATGGCACTGGAACGGGACCAACGACGCAGACACATCAGCCAGCGAGAGAGACGGAGAGAGAGAGAAAGAGAGCGAGCGAGCGAGCGAGAGAGAGAGAGAGAGAGCTAGAGAGAAAGATATATAGAGAGAGAGAGAGAGAAACAAAAAAAAAGAAGCGAGCGAGCGAGCGAGCGAGCGAGCGAGAGAGAGAGAGAGAGAGACAGAGAGAAAGAGAGAGAGAGAGAGAGAGAAGCAGAGAGGATACTGCTGCCTGTCCGACTCACACGACCGCCTCGGGGCCCTGGCGCCTGCCCACCAAGACGGGGAGGGACAGGAAGGCAGCACGGGGAGGGGGCGGGGGGGGAGGATCGCAAGGGAGAGAAAGGGGGGGGTGGAAGGGCAGACTGGGCAGGAGGGGGAAGAGGCAGCACTGAGTCGAGGGGGAAGGAAAGGAGGAGGACGAGGAGGCTGAGGAGGAGGAGGAGGAGGAGGAGGAGGAGGAGGAGGAGGAGGAGGAGGGGGGGGGGGAAAGTAGGAGGAGAAGGAGGAGACAGAGGAGCAGGAGCAGGAGTGGCGAGGAGGAGGAGGTGGAGGACGACAAGAAGGAAAGGATAAGGAGGAGGAGGAGGACCAAGAGAAGGACTGGTGGGAGCAGCAGGAGCACGAGCGGGGAGAAGGACGACGGGAAAGGAGGACACCACGGAGGGGAAGGCAAGGAACTGGAGAGAGATGAAGGAGGAGGGAGGAGGAGAAGGGGGAGGTGTGATGGTGGAGAAGGAGATGCGGAAGGCAGGACAAGTGAAACCCCATAGGCCTCGCACGTGTCCAGGGCTTCTGGGGGGGCTGGAATGGTGGTGCTTGAATGACCCCCCCACAGGATGCCTGTGGCCGGCGACATCTGGGAGAATCGGAAATCGGGGGGCACGAAGGTGGGGCAAAGGTGGGGTTGGACGCACAATCATTCCGAACGGCCCCTGGAAGAAAGAAACGCGTTAAACGGGAGCATCCAGCTGGGCCCGTTCGCCAGCCCCACCCTTGGCAGAACCCTCTCTCTACGAACCCCCGATCAGAAAGCGATGGACCTGTTGCGGGACAGGGACTGGCGAGAATTACGAAGGTCGAGTAGCGCGCATCAGCGATCACATACAACCGGATACTGCGCGCGAAGAGGTTTCAAAAGAGAGCCACAGTTTGAAACGGGCACTCCTCAAATCGTGCGCCTGTTGGAGATTCAAGGTTCAGGACCATGGCATGATGAAGCTGGTGTCCAAATGTTGAAATCGTTCCGCCCATCATTGCTGTAGCTGCTGGGAACTCCGAGCATTGGGCCAACGGGCTGAGAATTTTCACTCGGGGGCGCGATTCTGAAAGCCACCTTCCTTGTATCCGTGCAACTTCGATTCGAACGAGCCGACCCACTCAGCACTGACTCGGACGCGCTCCTGGCCTTGTGCACTTTTCGTGCGGGGTCCGAGGTCTGAGCTACACCCGCACCCGCAGACCACTACAAAATGTTTGCGAGCTGCTTCGTTTCTCACGCCCGCTCTGCCACTCCACCGTGCCCCTTCTTACTCCCCCTCGTGCTCACATCTTCCTCTTCGGACTTCCTGCCTCCTCTCTCTCTCTCTCTTTCCTCGACAGGCTGTGGGGTAGATATGCCTGCGGTGCCGCTACCCCATCGGGCGAACATATAAAAGGAACGAGCCCAACCAGCGTTACCACCACAGGGGGAGAAACATCGACCCTTGGTCGGAGATGCATCGCAGCTAGATCGGGGACATGCCTCCGACAGCGAAACTACACGGTCCTGGGCGGGGTGGGCTATCGGCGATGAACGGGCAATTGGGGTCGATGCATCCGCCCCTGAGCCCATCCCCCCCTTAGTCCCGCTGCCTCGCGGCGTTCGGGGCAGACCTCGGCACGCCTGCGGCCCTTCGGAGCGATCTGGCATCCGCAGGGTCGGAACACCGCTGTGTCAGGCCGCCCTCCCAAACGATGGGGGGCTCGGTCGTGCCGAGGACCGCCCCCCCTTTGCGCTGCCTTCTCCTCCTCCTCCTCCTCCTCCTCCTCCTCCTCCTCCTCCTCCTCCTCCTCCTGCTCGCCTCCCGCGGGCACGCGGGGTCCTGGGCTCCAGCTCCCTCTCCAGCTCGAACACGAAGTCCTGGTCGGCCCCAGAGAAGATCGGAGACTCGGAGATGCGCATGGCGCTGGACTGGACAACCCTGCGCGCGCGAGGGGCGGCGGCCAGGGTAAGAAATTATGATCAAGAAAGATGCCAGCGATGGTGATGTCGATGATGATGCTGCAGATGATGGTGATGATGATGATGATGATGATGATGATGATGATGATGATGATGATGATGATGAGTGGTGGTGATGATGACGATGATGATGCTGATGCTGATGATGAAACTGATGCTGGTGATGATGATGTTCATGGTGATGATGATGATGGTGGTGATGATTATGCGGATGCCGCTGCTGTTGATGATGATGATGATGATGATGATGATGATGATGATGATGATGACCAATCGGGAAATGATCATGACTATGATGTAACTGCTGCTGGTAATGATGTCTGTTGTGACCGGTATTGCTGGGTCCCGTTAGACACGGACGCAGCAGATGCCACATCGTGGCACCACGCTAGCACAGTAAGGCATCAACCTTTGGCGCATCACTGTGCGGCATAGCTCCGTGCGGCACAGACCAGTTTACCACATACAACACCGTGCGATGTATCATCAGCCTGCGCGGTAGCGCATTGTGCACTGTCATAGCCCACCACAACACGGCATGGCCATAACGTCTATGCGCCACAGCAAACCCTGGCAGATCACAGCGTAGCATGGCAGAACATTCGCACTGCTAGTGTCACTGCCAGCAGCACCGCAAACCAGCAATCCCGAGCATCCCGTTGAACACGGGGTAGTGCGGAAGGAAAAGGCTGAGGAGGAGGATGGGGAGGAGGAGGAGGAGGAGGAGGAGGAGGAGGAGGAGGAGGAGGAGGAGGAGGAGGAGGAGGAGGAGGAGGAGGGAGGAGTAGGAGGAGGAGGAGACGGAGGACGAGGAGGAGGAGGACGAGGAGGAGGAGGAGGCTTCCCTGGAGGAGCGCGAGAGCGCGGAGAGAGGTGACCACTCTGACACCAGCAGCTGTGCAAGCTGGGCGAGGGCCAGGCCAAGGCCGCGGGCGACCACGGCGGGCGGCGCTGACCAGCCTGCCCACAATAAACGCAACGCATCCGAGAGGAGGAGGAGGAGGAGGAGGAGGAGGAGGAGGAGGAGGAGGAGGAGGTGGAGGCGGAGCACCAGGGGCGGAATAGGAAGACGAGGAGGAGGAGGAGGAGAGGAGGAGGAGGAGGAGGAGAAGGAGGAGGAGGAGGAGGAGGAGGAGGAGGAGGATGGCGAGATAGAGGGGGGGGGGGAGGAGAAGGAGCACCAGCGAGGGAAGGAGGGAGGATAGAGGAAAGAGAAAGCAGAACAGGAGGAGGAGTTGGAGGTGGAGGAGGAGGAGGACAGGAAGAGGAGGAGGACAGGTGTGGTCCTGCAGAGCTCGAGGGCCGCCATGTCCAGCAGCTGGCACTCCTTCGGGAAGCGCACCCGCAGCTCCGCAAGCTGCTCCCGACGCAGCCTCGGGAGGGGTGGAGGGGTGGAGGGGGAGGAGGAGGGGGATGAGGAGGAAGAGGAGGAGAATGAGGAGGACTAGGAGGAGGACGAGGAGGAGAATCCTTCTTCGCAGGCGTTTGCGCTGCTGCGAGGGAGAACCTCACCTCTTCCATTCCCCTCTCAACTTCTGGCTGTGTGCCTCCCTTTTGCTCCTCCCCCCTGGCAAAGCTGCGCGTCCGCCTACGGCGATGCGCCTTTTTGTAAGGTTCGAGAGGGATTTGGGGTACGCAGAGCAAGATGATACAAGCACGGGACCTCGAAACGATCTGCAGAACATGTTTAGAATTGTCACGGGCATTCTGACATTTGATGCGGTGCCAACTGATGCCCGGCTATCTGAACTAGACTTACTGATGCAGAACGCGGCGCGATGCTCACAAAACCTAACCAACTCGTGCAGTACCGTGAAGGCGGGTGACGCGGGAACGTTTGGTGAAGGGGGGCAGGGAGCGAGGAGGGTGGTACCTAATGCGGGATGACGATTAATAAAACATAGGGGAGAGAACGATTGAAAAAATAGTTCCCTGCTATTTCTGCACAGTTTTCTGACTGGAGGAGCACGATTAAAAAATATGTTTCCAGCCCGCGGCCCGTTTTTTCTAATCGTCATCCCGGGCGCCGCCGCGTGAACACGACCCCCGGTCATTTATTCATCGTCATCCTCCATTATCACCCCCTGTGTCCGCGGCACCTCGTCAAGCCGTGCAATACTGGGAACGGCACCTAGTGTGCGCGGCACCTCACCAACTCTCCCAGTACCAGTCGTCCACCGGAGTGTGTGAGGGCCCCAGGGCCCCTGAACGGAGCGAAGGCACAGTTTCGTCGCACCGTTTTGACGACGCCTGGCCGGCAAGGTCTGCCGCCCTCCAGCTCGAGCGCGAGCTCCGGGCCCCAGAGCTCTCGACAGCATGCCCACGATTGCGGTGGTTCGCCGCGGCTGTTGGTGCGATGCGCCCCCCAGGGAACGGAATCGGCGAACAAAAACCGCGACGCCCCGAGGTCTGGGAGAAGAGGCGCGACCTAGCCGCGGTGCTGCCATAAGGAACGCCGACTAAGGCACGAAGGGACTCTTCCTGGCAACGGGGCGCGCCTCAGCCGCGAGCAGGGGCTCCGACCTCGACCTCGCGAGCGGTCGGTGCTGCAGCATTGCAATCGCGGGACGCGGCGACGCATGCTCAGCACACTTTCGAACGTGCTGCGCGCAAGTCTCTGCAGGACCAGGAGGCTGGCATCAAGCTTAGTCCACGCACCGCGCGGTGTTTGACGCATCAGTGACTAAACTGTACAAAAAGAAATGCACCACACACACACACACTGGCTGTCCGCAAGTCCTGTGCGCAAGTCTCTTTCGAACGTGCTGTGCGCGATTCTCTGTAGAGCCAGGACCAGCCTTCGTGGCTTGCACCTGGCTTGGTCCACGCACCGCGCGGTGTCTGACGTATCAGTGACTAAACTGTACAAACAGCATCGGGGATGGACATACCCCCCTTTAGTAAAACGTGGTTTAGTGAAAACGACCTCGGGCCCAAACTTGGCGGGCGCAAGCCTGGTAAATGACGGCCGCGGCGCCCTCTCGAAAACCGAAAACGGACAATTCACTAATCGACGTGTCATAGAGGGGGTTCTGTCCACCCCCGAAAGACATGCAACACACACACACACACCCATTGGCTGTCCGTGGCCCGTCCGGATATATCCGGCCAGCGCTGGGCGCGCCACCGGGCGGCGCTGGAGTCGCCGCGGAAGGGTCCAGCGCCGATCCAGGACATCCGCGCGAAAGCGTACCGTGCCGTGATGCGTGTTTGAGCTCCTGCGTGCCTGGTGGCACCTGCCTCCGGAGCCCGCGCGGAGCAGCAGGAGGGCATGGACATCCTGGAACGCATGACTGTCATGACGTGTCGGTCCCCTCATCTTCCCAGACATCCGACGCCGTAACTGCTTCACAGTGTTATGCCCCTCAGGTCTGGGCCAATCCCTTGGGACCAGTTCTCCAAGGAATGAAATGTGGTTGGAAGAGGATCGATCTGTTTTGTGGGAAGTTACACGAATAGCTGTCTTGAGTGAAACACGGCAGCGGGTGTGTACATATAAAGAACATCGATTTACATATAGAGAGAAAGGGAGAGACAAAGAGATAAACCAAATAACAAGCAAACAACAACAAAAACAACAACAGCAGCAGCAACAACAACACCAATCAGTTTAAGACTGTTCGCTCCTATACCCTCACGTGCCAATCAATACGTATTTCCCAAATCCTCGGTACTCGTCCTCGTCGTCTTCGATCGTACCCCCTTGGGGGTATATCTTCCTTACCTGCCCCGTGTATTTAATGCAGCCCCTTAAACAAGGGAAGAGAGGACGTGTGAAAGGGGGAGTGAGAAGAATGGAGCACGAGATAAGTTAGCAGGAGGGGGCAAGGAGCAGAAAACAAGTGGTAGAACCAAACGGGCAGATCGGGTGGGCAGACCCATAGCGGGCAGGTCGGGAGGGCGGGCCCAAGCGACGAGGTCGAGCAGGCGGGTTGCTGAAGCGTGGGTCCTGCATGAATCGCAGGGAAGTCTCGAGCGATAGCGCGACTCCCAAGTGAATCGTGAGAAAAACCAGCGTGGGCCACGAAGGGCGTAAAATCCGAGGCCACAGAGGGCAGCGACGGGGCCGCTGAGGCAGCACCGGGGCCACGAAGGGCAACGAGGGGGCCACAAAGGGCGACAGCGGGGCCACGAAGGACATGCATATGGGGCCACGACGGGAGCGAGCGGGGGCCACGAAAGGCATTCGTATACGGGGCCACGAAAGGGCGACAGCGGGGCCACTGAGGGCAGCAAAGGGGCCACGGAGTGCAGCGAGGGGGCCACGAAGGGCGACAGCGGGGCTACGAAGGGCATGCGTATGGGGCCACGACGGGCGCGTGCGAGCGGGGGCCACGAAGGGCAGATACTGCGGGGCCACAAAGGGCAGCGATGGGGCCACTGAGGGCAACAACGGGGCCACGAAGGGCAGCGAGCGAAAACGACCGCGGAACCAGTACGGGCAGCGAGGGGCATCGAAAACGGGCGAAAGGCAGCGAGCGGCGACTGCAGTCATTAACGGGTTGGTCGGGCGGGCAGGCCCCGACGGGCGGGTCCAGCGGGCGGGTCGTTGAAGCGTGAATCCTGCTTGAAACACGAGGCAATATGTAGCGGGGGCGCGATTCCTGAGTGTCGAGGACCGGCATCTGGATAAATTGTGGGGAAATATCAAGCGAAGCGATTCGGTGGGAAGTTGCGAGGATGTCCCAAGCGATAACGCGATTCTAGAATACGATTCTGTAGTGTATTGTCAAGACGCTTCAAACGGGAACCGCGGTTCGGTGGTAAATTGCCAGGAAGTCCAAAGCGAGAACGCGATTCTTCAATACATTGTGAGGAAATCTCAGGCGGGAGCCGTTGTTGTTGTTGTTGTTGTTGTTGTTGTTGTTGTTGTTGTTGTAATCTGGGGAAGCAAAAACGCAGTTTGACCCGGAGTAAATTGTGAGGAAGTCACACGTGGGAGCGCCGTTCCTGAGCAAATTGAAAGGAAATCTCGGACGGGAAGGGGGGGTCCAGAGAAAATTCGGAGGAAGTCTCAGGCGGGAACCGTTGTTGTTGTTGTAGTCCTGGGGGCCAAGAGCACAGTTTGACCACCAAGACTTCCCCTGTCCAAAAAACAAGGTGCGAGCGTCGCGGTACACACTTTGACGGAGAAAAAACAACATGCCCTGGCGAGGGGGATCAACAACAAATACTCTTCAGAAATGAAACAACAACAACAGCAACAACAACAACAACAACAACAACACCAACAACAACAACAACAACAACAGCAACAGCAACAGCAACAGCAACAGCAACAACAACAATCATTATAAGACTGTTCGCTCTTACTTGCCCGTGTGTCATTCGAAACGAGTTCCCCACATCCTCGATATCCGCCCGTTTTGTTTTCGATCACACCCCCTTTGGGGGGATTACTTATTTGTGCGGGGGGCGGCGGGCTTAGACACGCGGGCGAACCTGAACGGGCGGACAATCTTTCGTGTGCGTACATGTGCCCGCCATTGGAATTGGTGTGGGCCCTGCAAAAAGAGGAGGGGGAAAACGAGGGAGAGTGGGAGGAAGAGAGGGGGAGGGACCAAGGAAAAGGGAACACGCCAGGAGAGAAGGAGCGAAGAAGGGGGCGGATGTTGATTAGAGGCAGAGAGACAGAGAGAGAGAGAGAAAGGCAGAGAAGAGAGGTAGAGAAAGAGAGAGAGAGGAGGGAGAGAGAGAGAGAGAGAGAGAAACAAAGAAAAAACATCAAAAAAAAGGGAGGAGGCAGGGGAGGGGAGGGAGAAGGGAAGAGGGAGAGGAGGGAGAGGGGATAGGGCAGAGAGGCATAAGGATGTGGGAAGAGAGGACGGAGAGAAACGGGAGGAGAGGAGGGAGGAGGGAGGAAAAGCAGGAAGGTAACAGCGTAAACGTTCGAGGGGAACCTAAGCGAAAGCGCCGTTCCTGAAGGAAGCCTCGGGCGGGAGCCCACGACGGGCGGGCGATCCCCTGACGGGCGGGTCGGGCGGGTGGGACATTCAAACGAGATACCTGAGTATGGCGAGATTTCATGCATAACATGTGAGGGGTTCTCTGGATTGCGAAGAAATCTCGGCTCAATTGCGAAGAATTCTCAAGCGGGAACGCCGTTCCTGAGTAAATTACGAGGAAGACTCAGGAGCGGGGTTCTTGAATAAATTCGGAAGAAATCTAAGGCGGGAGCCGTTGTTGTTGTAATCCGGGGGGCCAGGGGCCCAGTTTGAGCCTCAAGACTTCCCCTTATAAAAAAACAGGGTGCGAGCGTCGAGGGGCTTACATTGATTGAGAAAAAACTGTGTGCAACGGCGGGGGGGATCAACCATAATCATGCTTCAGAAATGAGCCTTCAACAGCAGCAACACCACCAACAACAACAACA